CGCCTCCGCCATCCTCGCACGTGTGCTCCCAGACGGAGGCGGCGACGCCGAGAACCTCCAGCGCATTCTCCGCATGCTCACCAGCTACGGTGTGTTTGCGGAGCACTTGATCAAAGCAGACGACGACGGCGACTCCCAGCAAAGAAAGTTCTCCCTCACCGAGATTGGTAAAACGCTCGTCACCGACCAAAACGGTCTGTCGTACGGCCCTTACATCCTCCAACACCATCAGGTTTTGTAATTTTACTAGCTTGTTGACACAAGCTCGCTTGGGTGTCAATTGATTTTTTATTATTTTGTTTTGTTTAGAATTAATAAAGTAAAAATTGGTGTAATTGTGTAATTTTATTTTTTGGATTTTGTTTAGTACAAGTTATAGTGATGTATGGAATTAGGATTATATATGATTTTGAAAGATTTTTTTTAAGTGATAGATTTCTTGGAAGTGTATAACTTTTATAAGTTTTACCCGGATTTTTAGTAAACTTGTATAGACTTTTATACTTTTGTATGAACTTTTGTTATAGATTCAGATGTATTTGCATAGACTTTAGTCACACTTCTTCCCAACACTTATTTTTCCGCCAAACTATGGAAGAATTTTCAACACTATTCTTTGAAAATGAGGATGTGTTTGGATCACAATTTGTCTTTGCCCAACTGTGCTTAACCTTGAAGGAGGATTTTTCACACAAATACAAAAAAAATGTCATGGGTTTTTCATTGGATTAGACTCCGTTGGCGGTGTAATTAGATTTTATGAAAATATCTTATCATTTTGTTTTTATTTAAAAAAAAATTTAATATAAAAAATTGTTAATCTATGATATTATCCAAATTTGATGAATATTTTCATAATAATGTTGAATTTTCTTTTTGAAGGATGTGCTAATGGGGGCGTGGCCTATGGTGCATGAGGCTGTGGTGGACCCCACGGTAGAGCCGTTCGTGAAGGTGAACGGTGAGCCGGCGTACGAGTACTATGGGAAGAAGCCGGAGATGAACGGCTTGATGCAAAGAGCAATGTCGGGTGTATCGGTGCCGTTCATGAAGGCGATATTGGACGGCTACGATGGATTTGAAGGAGTGGGGAGATTGGTTGATGTGGGTGGGAGTGCAGGGGATTGCCTGCGGATGATCCTACAGAAGCATCCTAGTGTTCGGGAAGGGATTAACTTTGATTTGCCTGAGGTCGTTGCCAAGGCACCAACTATAGCTGGTGAGATTAATTAATATGTTTATCATTATTAAAATCTCAAATTCAATACATGCGTTAGTTAATCATCTGTTAAATAAATCTTATTTTGGCAAAATCTTAAAAATTATGATCATATATTGCATTAAAAATCAGTCTTGTGTGTAGATTTTTTCGCCTAATTCTCTCGATCGATCTGCATTTGCCATTCGTTTCTTCAATAATTACTTTCGCCTTTTCTCGTATTAAATAAAATAAAATCAGTCCTATGTTAACCCAAATGAGCTCATGTATATGTTAATGATTTTTGCAGGAGTGAGTCATGTTGGTGGTGACATGTTCAAGTCAATTCCCAGTGGAGATGCTATTTTCATGAAGGTACGTGCAAACCCATTAGGTTAGGAAAAAACTGTTTTTTATTTAAAACATACAAATGGAGAAAACTCATTTGATCATATTTTTCTTAATTTTAAATAATGATAAAACAGGGTAAGAAGTACTGAACAATATATACACACACACATATATATATATATATATATATATATATATAAGTAAGATTATCCATGAACTTTCTAAACTTCAGCATATCCTACTTCCATTTACCCAATCAAACCAAATTGCTATGCTTGAAAACATATCCTTCTCCCATAGAAAAAAACAAGAAAGCATCTTTCTCAATATATTTTGACTCATTTAACTATTTTAAATGCATCAATCATGATGAACAAGATTATATACACACACAAAGAGTTTTTATTAAGGGATTCTTCAAATAAACTTATTTGAGGGATACCCTTGTAGAACACAATTGGATTTCGAAACGGTTTCCGATTTATCTAATTTTTTGTAAGAATGATTTGTGAATGTAGAATTAAAAATAGATTATTTGGATTGTTGATAAACAATTCATATAGTTAATGTTTCCTTTATTTGATTTTGAGTTCATAACACATCATTTGTTCAACAAATTGTTAGCTAAATTAAGAATAAGAACAACAAGGAAACCTTTGGTTTTAAACCATCAAATTTCATTTCACCACAAAGAGCTAAATACAAGAAGTAAAACACAAAAGGAGGGTTGTTACGAAGTAAAGAACCACAAATTTAATAAGGCAATGAGCCGGGTGTTAAAGTATGACCAGAGTTTTGGTCGGTTTCTAATGAGCCGGATTTGAGTTTTGTGTAATGAATTTGCTCATTACCTTATACAATTTGTAGTTCTTAGAGTTTTGTGTCAAATTTATGTAGTGATTAGAAGGTTAATTATCATGATTATTATCATTAATACATATTAATTGTATCACTTGGCAGTGGGTTTTATCAACATGGACGGATAGCGAATGCAAGCTGATCATGGAGAATTGTTACAAAGCACTTCCAGTAGGAGGGAAGTTGATAGCTTGCGAGCCAGTGTTGCCAACAAAATCAGATGACAGTCGTAGGACACGTGCCCTCCTAGAAAACGACATATTCGTGATGACAATCTATAGGGCCAAGGGTAAGAATCGGACTGAGGAAGAGTTACGGCAGCTTGGTCTCTCTGCTGGATTCTCTCACTTCAGACCAATCTACATCGATTATTTTTACACCCTTTTAGAATTCCAAAAGTGATAAGTTGATGCAGCACAAGCAAATAGGTTACAAGCGTAACCTAGAAAAGAACATAAGCTTGAAATCCACCAGAAAGTTGGAGAGAAAATTCTCACTGTTTGTATTATTTGATAAAAGATGAGTTTAGTTCAACCATGCATGATGGCTGACTAAATACATCGTTCTCACCCATTGGACTGCCCTGGAGAGTTATTGAAAGCTTAACAGAAAATAAACGGAAAGTTTGTAAATTGAATACAATCTTTAAATGCACTTTTGGAAGCCCAAACAACCTCAAAAGCCCTTCGACTAAGCCTATTAGCCACACAGTTTAAGGTGCCAGAAGTATGTTTGATAACAAATGAGAACTTCTGCAAAAAAAAAGTCACCTATCTGACATGCATCTTATCAACATGTTTCTGGCTGTTAATAAACTTCAAGGCTTGATCATCTGTAAACAAAACAAAATCTTTTTGAATAAGGTAGTGTTCCCATTGCTTCAAAGCCCTAACAACAGCATAAAATTCTTGATCATAAGTACTCCATTTCTAATGGGCTTCGCTTAACTTTTCAGAAAGAATGTTATTGGTCTCTTATCTTGAGAAAGCACAGCTCCCACTCCTACTCCACTAGCATCACATTTGACTTCGAACACCTTTTCAAAACTTGGAATAGCTAGAACTGGAGCGGTGCAAAGTTTCTCTTTTACAAGAGTAAAGCTTTTTTCTTCTTCTTTCCCCTCAATTGAATTTGCTTTTTTTCAAACATGCCATAATAAGCGCAGTGATGGTGCTAAAATGCCTCACAAACCTTCTATAAAAAGTGGCTAATCCATGGAAACTTCTAACTTTGGAGACTATTTTGGGAGTCGACCAATCAAGGATTGCCTTAATCTTCTCTTCATCCACTTGGATACCCTTTTCACCAACCGCAAAACCCAAAAACAATAGCTTACTTGTGCAAAAAAACACATTTTTTTAGATTCACATGCAACTTATTTTCTTTCAATACACCTAAAACTTGTCTCAAATGCACTAGATGCTCTTCTTTGGAGATGTTGTAGATTAAAATATCATCAAAATAAATTACGACAAAATAGCCAATAAATGGACGAAGAACCTGATTCATAAGCCTCATGAAAGTGCTAGGTGCATTTGACAATCCGAAGGGCATCACCAGCCACTCGTATAATCATTCCTTGCTTTTGAACCCTGTTTTCCACTCATCACCTAGCTTGATTCGAATTTGGTGGTATCCGCTGGGCAAGTCTATTTTAGAAAACCACTTTGAACCCTTGAGCACGTCCAACATATCTTCCAAATGCAGGATGGGAAATCTGTATTTAACTGTAATTTTATTGATTGCTCAGCTATCAACACACATGCGCCAATTTTTGTCTTTTTTTTTGGAACAAGAAGGACTGGAACCGCACAATGACTCAAGCTCTCCCTGATAAAACCCTTCCTTAACAGATTCTCAATATGCTCTCTTAGAATTTCGTTCTCCTTAGGACTCATACGATAATGTGGTAGATTTGGTAGGTTGGCTTCGGGAGCCAAATCAATGCAATGTTGTCTGAAATAAGGTCCTAAAAAGCGGTAGTTCATTTGGCAGATTGTCTGAAATAAGGTTTTGAAATTGTTGCACTTCATGAAGGATTACATTTTCTTCCTTGCTAGCCTTTAACATTCCTTTCAACACCATTGGACAAAAATATTCAACTTCTTTCACTGCCTCATTAAGTTTTTGCTCACTGCTGATCAGAGTTAGAAAACTAGAACTCTTAGTTTTGGACTCACTCATCCTTGTAGATGCTATAACAATTTTGTGACTTTTCTAGGAAAATAATATTACATTATCTCGACCTTTAAAAGTTGCATCCACATCATACTGCCAAGGTCGCCCCAACAAAATATGATATGCATCTATATCGATTATATCACATACGACATCATCTTTATAATGCTTACCAATGGAGAGAGGATACGGAAAGTCTCGAAACATGAACTGAAGGTCATTTTTTAACCCAATCCGGCGAGTAAGGACTGATATGAGGCTCCATAGGTAGCTGCAAACGCTCCACCAATTTTTTTGACACAAAATTCTCACAACTCTCGTTGTTTACAATCACATCACAAACTTTATTATTGACTGAACAAAGAGAATGGAAGATGCTATGTAGCTGCCCTTCATCTTTTGGTGCTAAAAGAATTCACTGCAATACCAAATTAAGTCTTTCCATTCCCTCCTCAATTGTAAACTCATTCCCTGTGTAATCGTCGTCTACTGCTTCGTCTTTTTCTTTAGCATCACCGACTTCTTCAATTAAATTAACTTCTCTCCACTCAGGATAAACGTTGGAACAATGCCCTGGTTTGTAGCATCGGTAACAAATATCAATCATGGGCTTGGCATACAGATTCTCTTTCTGGGGTTGGTTTGGGGTCTGCACTCTATTGAAAGTCCGGTTGCTACCTTCATTGCCAGCTTTACCTTGGAATTTCGACGATTTTGGTGATCCTCCGATGCTTTGCTGCTATGTTTTCCTTTTATCACTAAGAAAAGTACCAATGTTTTTGGAATATTCCATTGTACTCATTCGATAATTAGTTTGACGTTTCTCATTCTCCAACAATTCAGCTTTCAACACCATATTAATCACCTCCTGCAAAGTCCACAACTTCTGCAAACCAATTTTTTCTTGAATGGAAAGTTTCAGCCCATTATTATACCTTTCAATATTCTGATTTTCAGTCTCCATCAAATGATTACACTTAGCTAGACGCATGAATTCTTCGGTATATTCAAACAACGATCGATTGCTTTGCACACAACCTATGTACACGCATTACAGAATCTGTTCATAATCAATAGGTAGATACATATCCATCATAAGCTGCTTCATCTTTTGTCATGTACGAACCCGTCCCTTTCTTTGTCTCTGCCGAGTAAATACAGTGATTGATCCCACCATACTGTCACGGTTACCTTCAGACGAAAAGCGACCATCTTCACCATCTTTGTTTCGGTAACCTCCATAATCTTAAAAAACCTCTCCACTTCCACTAACCAGTCTAAGAATTCTTCAATCTTTAGATTCCCTGAAAAATTAGGGATTTCACCTTTGATCCGATAATCTCGAAATTTGTTGTGATTATGAAGATTTGGATTGTTAACCGATGGTGGGTCTTCCAATTCTTCCTCAGACTCCAACGCACTCTCTGGAACGTGTTGCCTCATATTATTTTTTCCACCATTGCCTCCCTGATTATTGTCTCACGAGTTATTGCCTCATCTGTCATTTCTTCCATTGTTGTCGCCAACAACTTGTAACAACAATTCACGAATCTCCCTAAATTGATTGGCTAGGTTATCAATTCGTATGTTTTGAGCATCCAAGTCCGGTTGCGTAATAGGGCTTGCAGCATCACGTTCACGATCACCCGTGATAAAAGACAACAATATCAAGACGAGAGAGACCCACTTTGATACCACTTGACACAGCACAAGCAAATAGGTTACAAGTGTAACCTAGAAAAAACATAGGCCTGGAATCCACCAAAAAGTTGGAGAGAAAATTATCACTGTTTGTATTATTTGATAAAAGATGAGTTTAGTTCAACCATGCATGACGGCTGACTAAATACATCGTTCTCACCCATTAGAGTGCCTTAGGGAGTTATTGAAAGCTTAACATAAAATAAACAGAAAGTTTGTAAATTGAATACAATATTTAAATGCACTTTTGGAAGCCCAAACAACCTCAAAAGCCCAAAATCCACCTTTTATCCTAGCAACGCAATGGGTTGGACTTGTGGTGTCGTGCTCTTTTTGAGAAGGTATTATGCGACCCAATCGAAGCTCAGACGCCAAATATGTAAATTCATGTTGCATCATTTTGCCTTTCTTCGCTCCAATTCTTCTTCAATCCATTCAGCTTGTTCTACATCATAAGTGTAGTTTGACTTTAATTTGGAATTTTTCAACGTATGTTTCTATTTAATTAAAGCAAAGAAAGAGTAATATATATAAATTAACTCTTTTGATGTAAAATACTCTACCGCCAACCATTACACAATACATAATATGTAATGTACGTAAGTAAAAAGAATGTTAGAGCTACACATGAGTTAGTGCCAGTTTGACATTGTTGTGCTGTGAAAATAATCGCTATCAGATTTGCTGTAAAAGAAATCAGCTATCAGAGAAAGCAGTTTGGCGTTTGATAAACTTTTTGTTAAAAATGTTGTTGGCACAATAATCAGTTTCTAAGTGTTTGGTAATTTTTTTGTGAAATTTTTAAAAATCATTTCAACCTTTTTCTAGGCTTCCCAAAATTTTTTAAAAATCACTTATCACCCCAAATAAGCAATGCCAAATGGGTACTTAAAACCAGTTATAAAGTGATTATATGGAGAAGTGATTCTCCATGGAAATGATTATTGGCCTATTTAGAATCACTCCCAAATAAGCCCTTAGTCTTTTTTATTTATTTATCGAAATTAGAATTTCATTCAATTGAAGCAACATACAGGAGGACTGAAAAAGTGGCCTCTAGTCGCTTATAAGGTTGGGTGTAAACACACATGTAGGTTTGAAGTCCTTACCTCTAATAACCAAATATCAACCCTTAAACTGAAAAATCAACAGAAAACTCTAAACCTTAAATTTAAGTACTGGACTATAAATCTTGGATCTATACTAAGTTGGGGTTTTGAATCTTGAATGTTATAAAATAAATTTTTTTTTAAAAAAAAGAAAAAAAGAAGGGCCTTAAGCTTCAAACTCAAACCCTAATCCTCACGTCTTAAAAGTCACATCATAAACTTAGAGCAACATGTATCAAATCTTAGGCAAAACCCTAATTTCGTATCCAACATCACTTACTCCAAACTCGAACCCTAACCACTAACCCTAAGAAATAACCTCTTGAACGGCCTTTTAGAGACAGCTTTTAATTTTTGATTTTATGTTCGTTATTGAATTATTTGTTTGATAATCCTTTATAATATTTAAAAAATAGATATTAATGAGTATCAATATATATATATAGTCAAATTCTTTTTAGGGAGTTTCACTAAAACACCCAAAATGGGGGTTGAAATTATAAAAAAACCCAAGCACTATTTAAACATATAAACACACCCAAAACCCATCATTACATACACTCAAAACCCATTTATAAACACACAAAAAAAGTTGACTTTGGGGTTGATTTTGGGTGTGTTTCTATGTTTAAATAGTACTTGGGTTTTTTTATAAATACATGTCTAGGATTGGGTTTATTTATAAATTTGTATTCTTTTTATATATTTTTGTTCAAGACTTTATTATAGTAGGTCTTCTTACTAATTTTATATGGCCCCCCTAAAATCTTAGAACGGCGACTAATTTTGAATTCTTGACCATTAGGCTCAAACCTCATCTCAAACTCTAAACATTGACCTTAAACTATAATACTTAATCTCAAGACTCGAACTTATAACTCGAAACCTTAGATCTCAAGTGCAAAGCATCGATCATCTTGTTTTGTGTCACAAACTTCAAACCTCGAGAGCTACCTCAGATTGAGATTCCCAGCCTAGAATGTTCAACCAAACAATGAAATTGAGGGTACATGATTTGATTCCATTTTCATTCCCGCACCTAGACACAAGGAAGTTTACAAATACTTATCCCACGATGTTTTGTCATCTCATCAACAGCCATGAAGCATTGTACACATAACCGGGCCCATTGACGCAGCAGAAAATCTGGGAAATATCTAAGACTTTCGATTCGATGGCGCCGAGGCTAAAAATAGAAAAACAAACAATTAATCACACTTACATTCCCATCTCAACCCCACCACCCCTCACCTTAATCTTAATTTTCTATTAACTTCGATGTTGCCGTCAAAATAAAAGGCTAATTTCTTCTCAAGCCAATGAGTCTCTGACACGTCAGAAACCCGAATGGTTCGCTGACTTCCATGTTGTACGTGTCGAGTACGGAGCGCGAGTACCAGAGGAGAAGCGCGTAGAGTGAGCTGCGGGAAGAGTGTACAGAGATACCGTAGTGCAGTAGGAAACTGCAATTAAGAAGCAGAGGGAGGGAGGCCGTTTCCCGATTTGCAGTTTCTGTGCCTTGCATTGCCCACACCCGCATTCATTCATTTCTACGCCTACTCTCTCTCTCTCTCTCTCTCTCTCTCTGTGTTTTGTCAAAGAAATAAATTGATTGAAGAAGGGAAACGCCAAAAGTTGAAGGGAAAATAAAATAACAACCTTCGCAACAATGACCAGCTAGCTAACGCTTTCTCTCTATCTCTCTCTCTCTTGCTACTTTGGTTCTCTCGCTTCATTCAGAAGAATCAGACATTCATTCATTTGGTCACACTGGTCAGCATGCTCTGTTTCTCTCTCTAGCTGGTAATGTTGGTGGTTGTGATGGAGATGTGTTATTATGAGAAGTAATTATGGAGTAAGAGAACTTAATTAACTAATTATCAGCAGCAGCGACAAGAAGAAGAAGAAGAAGAAGAAGAAGAAGAAGAAGGAGAAGGAGAGATTGATTGAGAGAAAAATGTTCAGGCTCCACAAGAACAGGCCAGCTAAATCAGGGGAGAGGGTTGATTTCAAGTTCTCTCACTTTAAGGCCCTCCAGGTATATTCAATCCTTGATGTTTTCATTTGTGCTTAATATTGAGCATTGCATTGGAGGTAGACAATTATGGTGTAATATGCAATTTTTTTGGGTAAACACCATGAGGTGTCCCCACACCCCAAGGGTGGGATTAATTTATGTCAATTCTAGACCTTTATCAAGAGTTTTTGGAAAAAGAACGAAAATTAATGTCAAAATCTATAATGGGGAAGTGCACAATTGTTGAATTCTGCAAACCATAATCAAATTTTGTTTTCGATATCCATATATGTATACAAACACCATATCTTTTGCTCCTGGAATCAGGACCGATGATCATGTGAAATCAAGTGAATCTGATTCACACTATCATTCTGTTCTGTTCTATGGATTTTTCCTTGAGCAGATGGAGTTTTTGATGTCTTTCTTGCTGATGATGATATTTGTGATTGCAGGTTCCTAGAGGATGGGACAAGCTGTTTGTATCCATTGTATCTGTAGAAACTGGGAAGCCAATTGCTAAATCAAGCAAAGCAGTAGTGCGTAATGGAAACTGTCAATGGACTGAAACTCTTTCCGAATCGATATGGATTTCACAGGATGATTCTTCAAAGGAGATGGAAGATTATTTCTTCAAGCTTGTCCTTTCCATGGTATTTCTCATTCTCACTGATTTTGTTACAAACATGCTTCTTTTGGCAATTGACTTTCTTTATCTTCTGTGATTCAATGTGGACTTTGGTTTATCTACTTGCTGATTCCCAAATGACTTTTTGATCCTAGGGATCGGCAAGATCCGGCATCCTTGGCGAGGCTACGGTCAATATGTCGGATTATATAAGTTCAACCTCTTCTGTTCCAGTTTCTCTTCCATTGAAGAAGTGCACTTATGGGACAGTTTTGCAGGTGTGTTTTAAAAATGTATATATTCTCATTAGATGTTTGATATGTTGAACAAAAATTGACCCCCTTGTTATGTTGAATTGAGTCAACGCACATTTCTTATGTTTTGGCCAATGTGCCTAGTTTGACTATTTGTTTGAAGGCATCACAGTCTTTGCCATCTCCTTAAAGATTGAAAACATCTGAATATATCTCCTTGGAAAATTGGTGCCTACTATCTTAAAAACATGGTTGGTCTAACTGTTTCCCGCATTTCAATACTTTCGTCATTTGTTATGAAAAATTATTTCAAATCTATACCATTTTTGGAGGATATTAAAGTACTGGCCTTTGCAAAGTCAATCTAGAAGGATGCATGTGAATACTCATTGAAGGTATCTGTAAAAACATGAATATATCCATTTGAGTATTCATTTTCTTTTCACCATTCTCCCATCTCATTGCACTAGAAGTCATCTCCGAATTGGCTTTTCAGCAGATTTTTGCTTATCTTTCTGTTTTGCAGGTGAAAATTAACTGCCTAACACCAAGAAAAAGGCTCAGGTTAGTATCAAATGATTGCTTGCATTGGTCTGCAGATAATTACTTTTCTATTTGATAGTGAAGATTTTCAGATCATGTTTTTAGTGATGAAGAGTCAAAAGAGACAAGCTGTCATTTTGAAGAACCAAATGCAAGTGGTCTTGATGTCGACAGCAAATCAAATGGATCTA